ACGTGTTTCCTTCCTTTGCTTCGGGGAAAGGAGGCAGCTTATCTCTAGTAATAAGGTCTACATCTGCTGGGAGTTGAAGATGTATTTTGTCAACAGTTCTGGCCAAACAAATAAAATCACTCTTTAATAATATTCAGTCATAGAGAAAGAAAGCTTCCTGGGGCTATTTGGATCATGTCTGGTTGAAAACAGGTCTTTCAGTGTGATTTTTTCTCTGTTCTCAGGGGAACCGAATGGGTCGAAAGGCAGATGTGTGTCCTCCTGGAGGACCACTGGCTCCTGGCAAAGGACTGTGCGGGGACAGGGTGGCTCTGCGGGCTTAGGGCCACTGCCAGCTCTGTCCGCCACAGCTGGGAACAGACAGCAGCCCACCCTTCTGACAGCAGCAGTGAGCTCTGCCCACCGTGACATAGGAAAATGCATGCTGGGTGCTCAATTTGGTGTGTCCGGGAATCAAAGGAAACACACAGGCTCTCAATATACTCTTTCCTCTGGAGGGAGAGGGCTCCAGGATCCCCCGCACCCAGTCCATCCTCAGATGAGCTGTACTGCTTGCTCCTGCCACCCCATAGAAGATGTGTGATGCTGGAGACCCGAGCAGAGAGCAGCCAAGAAGGGGCTCCATAAACTATAAAGGGTTAAATAGTTGGAGTATGAGCATTATTCTCCCATTTCGGTGGCAAAGCACCACTTCTTTTAAAAGTACACATTCTTAGTAAAATTACCTTGGCAGCATAAAACATTGTTTACTAAAATGTGTAGAAAAATACCACCCTATGGTCTTCAAAGGTACATAAATAATGATTATAAGCCTCTAAGCAACATTTATAGGCCTACTCTATCTATATTGATGCTGACTGTATTTCTCTATCTGTCCCACCTTTAAACATTCTCATGGCACACTGTCATGGCAGTTAATCCAGTTTATCATTTAACACTGTGCATGTTTATGTGCTTAATTCTGTCTTTATTAACAATCCACCTCATAATGTCTGTAGGCTCCATGAAGGGTTGAAACTGTTTCACTTTGGTTAGTACGCTAGTCCCCAGAGCTACTTAAGAATTTATAGAAGGAATAGAAGGAGACAGGACAATGAGCCAGGTGCCATGCTGGGTAGTGGAAGCCCTTGGTCCCACTGTGGAAGTGCTCACAGTCCAGAAGAGAAGGTAACTCCAGGGTAGCTGAAGAAGGGCCCCCTAGGTTACCCCCAGCTCTATGGGGTGGCAACGTGGATTCAGAAAATAGGCAACACCTTCTCAGCAATAGGCAGTACCTGTGCCTCTGCTCCAGGGTGATCAGCTTTAGGGACAGCTCTGGACAGAGGCAGGGGCACCTGGGAGACACAAAGATGTAGCCCTGATCTTTACTAAGCAGGAGGCCAGGCCCAGAGATGGCACCCTAGGTGGAAAGGGCAGACAGCGCTGGGTCCAGGAGACAATGCCATCCTCGCCCAAGCACTTTCACCCACAAGCTCATCACTGAGAACCCTGGATTTCCTGGGAGCTGATTTCTCCAAATTCCCACTAGCCACAGAATGCTTCCCTGCTCCTAGTTCTCAGGTTGGAGTGGCAGATGTATGAGATTATGAGAGAGACAATGAGGGAATCACATGTCCACTGCAGGTTGTTAAACACCACCACGCAGAACTGCACAGCTAGAATCATGGGGCAGGAGCTGCCGTCCCAAGCCTTGCCCTGCCAAATGGGATCTGTCTGTCTTTACTAGGGAATTATGATAAACGAGCAAAGACAGACACTGGTCAGGACAAGCCACTTTATTTAAGAGCTTCGACAGCTCAAAGTGGTTTCACATAGAAGCATGGAAGATTTATCTAGATGATAAAATACCTGAACATGAAAGGCACATAAATTATAAGTTTGCAGGTTTTTTTCCTTTTAAGATTTCACATAGTCAAGTACTTTAAGTAATGAATGAAATGCACATAAAGTTGACTTCATTTCACACAAGCTGTTCTAGTTAGTGTCTGCAGAGTCTTTACTTCCAGATGGGACTAGATTCAGAATCAACACCTCCCATCTGTGTCTATGGCTTTCCGTTTCCTCACTCCAGTGGAAATCACTGGGACAATTAATAAATACAATAGCAGCTATTTTTTCACTTAGCACTTACATGCTGTCTGCTACATGAGGAGGGCAGTGTTCATTTACTTAATAAGAATATTACTGAATGCTTATAACAGTTTTATGAATTGTAATATACCTTAGGTACAATGATTCCCCATTTATAGATGCCAACAGGTTTAGAGCTTCTATGCCACAGATGAGGTCAAAGGCAATTAATTTCACCTGATTCCAAAATTGGGCTATTCACCCCTAAGCTGCAACCTTCATAAAAATCCTTGACATGGGCCCTCCTTGGTGGTGCAGCAGATCAAAGCGCCGCACTGCAATTGAGCTGCAGCTGCTTCAGTGTGAGTTTGATCCACAGCCCTGGAGGTAACCCACATGGCATGGCAGACCTCTCTTGTCTTACCTGCTGCTCCCCTCAGCAGTGTACTTTGTAGATCTTCCTATTCTGTACCCCACTCTGTCTCTGGTGAGTCCTCTCACTGCCCCTGAACCTCTGGCCTGCACCCCAGTTCTGTATTCATAAACAAATATTTAAAATACACACACACACATTTTAAAAAATGCATGGCACTTAGCAAATGCTTCAAAACATAGTTATCTTTCCCTATCTTCATACTTCTTTCTTTAAACAGCACACTTAAAAACAGGGAAGTGTGCCTTGAGAGTTTATGTTCCTTCATTCACTTTAGGCTCACTACTCTGTCAAGTGTAGGGCTTACAGAACCAGATTCCACTGCTCCAAGATCACACATCCATTAGAGGGCAGAGCAGGGATCAAATCTAGGCAAGGGGCACAGGGGTTAGGGCACAGTCCAAACAAAACTTCTTAGAAATTTTCAACCCAAGACTTCTGCTGTATTTTCTTCAGTTTGGGTCTTCAAAACATACCAGCTCTCTAGGCCTCTGACAGTTTTGCTGCCCAGAGGCCCTTTATCATGCAGAGAACACCCTTCTTCCAGACAGGCAGATGCTTTCTGGTAAAACCAGTGCAGCAGATAACCTAACTCGCACAGCTAATCACCCTGCACAGTCCCTCAGAGTCACCCATTCACTCCCACATCCAACCTCCAACTATCTTGTTTCACTTTTGTTTAGAATACAAAATAATAGCAAATGTAATAATAGTAACTTCCCTCCAGTCAGACACTGTTCTTTGTATTTTAAGGACATCAACTGATTAAATCTTTATAACAAACCTCGAAATTAGGCGCTATTATTATTTCTATTTTCATTGATTTTGAGGCAAAAGGGAGCTAAACATTTCTTCAGGGTCAACCATATGCCACTGCTATGATAGCTTGCTAGTCAGACCACAGTGAGCTGCCCAGGTCTGGCACAGAGATGGGGCGTGATGGGTAAGAATCCAAACCCAGGTTTGTGACTGCCTGGCCTAGTGCTTCCCTGCTCTCTGAGGCTGCTGGCATTGCCACAACCTATGAGGCAATGGTGCCCTGTCTCCTCCTCTAGCACCCTTCTGTTAACATCGGTCTTATTTCTTTTTAATCTCTATTCACAAACTACATCACACTCTTCTCTTAACTGTGCTCCCCCACTCTCTGGGTAGTCTAGCCCATGTTCATGGATCAAATCCTGAGTCAACACCATTGACTTTAACAGTCATAGAAAGTGGGATCAATTCAAGCCAATAAATTGACAGTGTTTCCTGGAGCCCAAAACTCTCTCCTAAATCTCTGGTGTTTCAAGATCCGAGAGGTCTTCAGCAGTAGACCAGCAGGATTGTTGCCTCTAGGAAGATTTTGTGAACATGAGGAAGAAACTAATGCTCAGTTGAGGAGCCTTGTTTTGGGAGGAGTGTGGGAGGGAGGAAAGAAGGGGACTCATGGAGCTGGGAGCAACCGATGAGGCTTTCTGTACCAGGTAGCAGGCAGAGGAGCTTTTCAGAGCAAGGCCAGGGGTCAGAGGAGACCCTGGTTCCCAGAGTCCATGGAGCTGAACCATGGGTTCAGGAGTTCTAATTTTTCTCTGAACCCTCAAAGCCAGTATCAAGTGGGTAATTGTTAGAAGTTTCAAGAGGTAATGGTCAAACCAGTCATTGTTTTAGACAATAGGGTTTGAGAGATTCTACTTAGAGGAGGAAGGGGCCGGGGGTGGTCACAGAGACAGGCACACTGTTTACCCCAGATTAACAGGGCTCCATCCAGAAAAGTCTTTACCTTTACTTCAGTCACTGTACACCTTTATTTAACATCATGAAGAACTTATACTCAACAGCTCAATCATCCAGCTAGGGCCCATTTACAGACAAGGAACTTGCTTTCCCCCAGCAATGTGTGGGCCAGTGGTGTGGACCTTCCTTTTTCAAACAAGCTAGTCTCTCCCCAACAAAATGTGTGCTTTGTTGTTCACACTGGAACGTTTGGATTCACACTCAAGAACTGGCTGCAGCATCCTTTACAGAAGGGCACCGCCGGTTAAATCTCTCCCCAAACCTCCATCGTTAAAACCTGAACACTTCTGTTTGCTCATTATGTACAGCTTGTGGGGCTCTCCATGACACTGTCAGGTTCCTAAGGTTCCAAACTGCATTTCCTCTGCCAGCACTGCCTCCATCTCTTAGCCCATGGGCGGATATTCTGGCACGCGATTAAATATGTGCTGGAACCTTATTTGTATCTATTAAAGCAGGAGAACTGAAGGTGGGGACCCAACTCCCCCTCTTCCGGCTGTAGTGAGGGCCACATCAGTAAGAGGTTAGTTTGATAACTCCAGGACGCCGAAGAGTGGCGCCCGATGGTAGAAGGGAGGCGCTCTGGGGCGCATCCACCTGGGACCAACTCCCGAGCTACGCAGCACGCTGCCACCTGTCGCCTGTGCGCCAGTTCCTGTTTAGGGACAGGCCGGTGCCCATGAGGGCAGAGGTCTCACAGGGCTGGCCAGGCTGCGCTTACCTGCACGTCCTGAGGCTCCACCAGACAGGCACTCGGCGAGGCTCGGGAGCCGCCGAAGACTCAGAGCGAGGCCGCGCAGAAGCCGGGTTCTCGGCCTGCGCAGGGGCCTGCACCCAGGGGCCCAGCGGAGCCGGCTATCCGGACGTTAGGCCGTCAGCGGCGGGCCAGTCCCCGCGAGCCCGCCCCGCCCCCGCGCTGGAGGCGGGCCTGAGGCGCTCTGGCCTGCCCCCTTCTCCCAGCTCCCGAGTGAGGGCGGAGTCACAGGGAAATCTGCGCCGGCCTCCTGAGTCCCGCCCCTTCGACTCAAGCCACGCCCACCAGCAGCCACGCCCACTAGCCGCACTCCTCGCGCCCGCTCCCTCTGACTGACTGGGATTCTCAGAGCCCTGTGTTATGTTTTTGCACATTTACACTTTGTTTTCCTTTCTAAAACTTCCTCATTCTTTCATTCCTATTTATTTTTACTTTTTTAAGGATTAATTTAAAATTCGAGTAAGGCTCTCCGTGGTGGCGCAACGGGTGAGGATACAGCACTGCAAGCTAGCCACAGCTGCTTCCGTGAGACTTCGATCCCAGCATGCCCACATGGCGTGGTGGACCTCTCCTGACCCACTCACTGCTCCCCCTCAGCAGTGTACTTCGTCATTCAGCCTGTTCTGCTCCTCACTCTGTATCTGGTGAAGCCTCTCACCGCCCCTGCACCTCTGGCCTGGACCCCAGTTTGTATGCATAAATAAATAAATCTTTTTAAAAAATGATTTTTCAAAAATGCAAGTAAAGCAGGGACACTTTTTAAAGAAAAAGTATCTAGTGCTCTTATGAAAGCAACAGGCCCCCTCACTTGCTTCCCACACAAAGCCCCTTATATTATATCAGTATCTCAGTTTAGTCCTTCTTGTGGTCACCCCCTTATCACTAAGAAAATAAGCTTGTGTTGCCATTTCTTGATTTATCTATTGACTTTCTGCCATGTTATATGAGGATTTACTGTCTCACTGAGCCCCTGTCTCCCTTCGCCTGACAAATTTATACCCCTAGTCTCAAATCCTGCCCTAGTTAACTCTGATACCTAAACCAGGAGTGGATGAAGATTCTTCTGGGACCTGCGGCTTATTCAACTGTGCGGAGACAGTGACAAAAGGCTGTTTCAGAAAGCCCCACAGAATCAGGCTTTGCAAGTGAACATTTATTTGGAACGAGAGAACATCCTTGGCCATTCAGGTCCACACCCCCCCCCCCAATATCTTCTTGGTGTTAACTCCCTGCTTCATCCAGGGACCTAGCTTCCCCTCTCCCGCCCAAAGACCTCCGTAACTCCCTTTCCTTCCAGGGTTCATGTAGTAAGGGACCCTGTGGATCAAGATTCTTCAGTTCCTACCAAAAGGATTTTGTTGCCATCTCATAGGGTTCAAGTGTGTCTCAGACTGAAGAGTAATCACGGACATGCAGACTGAAGGTTAGCAAGATCAGGTTTGTTGCAATAAAAGACTTCTGACAGCAGGAGGTAGTCTAAGAGTGGAGTCCGTTACTGACTCCTCAAGGGTGGGCTACAATTTTATAAGCAATCTCAGGGACTTTCCACTGTTCTGGTGATTTTTCTGATGCCTGGGAATTTTCCCCACAAGCTAGCTTTTGCCCCTATATCCTTCTCTGTTGTCACCAGCCTTACTAACAAGCATTCCACTCTTTCAGGCTTGCCCTACTTTCTGCTCCCTTGGTTTCCTGAGTGAACTGGACATGTCAAGGATGAGGCACTTCATTCCCAACTTCTAGCGTCAGTGACAAGTTCTCACCATAGGATGGAGGGTGCTTCATCATGCTGGTCTGGGATCTTGGCCCATCTCCAGATCTTCATGATGCTTCCCTGAGGTTGGCTGTGTGGCTTCACTGTTGCCACTTTTAGGTCGGCCCATACATGTCCCTTCTGTGTTAGTTAGCACAGGAGGCTCAGTGGCAGCAGCAAAGCCCAGGTGGAGGGGCTGCCCCGCTCCCTCTCTGCCATCCCTCCTCCCCTCAGAGAGTTCAGCCAATTTCCTTTCTCTGCTCAGCTTCCCTTCTCCTCTGCTCTCTCCTTCCTTTGTCCAGTTACTAAAGACCAAGGACCTTGGGTGTCACTTCACCTTGTGAGTGTGACTCCAGAAGGTAACCTTGGGCAAAGTCACTGTACAAAGCCTATTTCCTTCTCTGAAATTGGAACTACCAATTCATCCCTTTTGTGGGATTAAGCAGTCTACTATCTGTGTGCTTAAGGATAATCATCTTTGGGTGTTTTTCCCATTGTTTAAAAATTTTTCATTTTTAACAATTCAGAAAAATTAAATATCAGTCAAACTTATTACCCTTTTCTTTCTACTACATTTGGTCTGGTTTTTGTATCATACTTGGAAAAACTATTCCCACCCCAAGATTAATGGAATAATTTCAAGGAGAATTATCTTTGGGTATTCTCTTATTGATAATTTAGTTTATCTCCCAACAGATTGGTAAGCTCATGAGAAAGATTAGGAACTTGTAGGAATCGGTGTGTAGCATGCTGGTACCACAAGTTGAATTAAAACCAAAAAGTAGGTGATTCTAAGTCAGTGTCTTGACCTAGGGAGGGTAATACTGACACAGAATAAGAGCAAGAATGGTTCCCACGAGAAGGTTGATGGTTTCTCAGGGGTGTAAAGACTAAGGGTAGACCATGGAGGAAGTGTGGCTCTCTAGGCACAAAACAGTGTCTCCTAGTTGTGGAAGTAAGAACCTCACGTAATAGCCAAGCTTTATATAACTGGGAGGTGGACAGTGGTTGAGCAATCCATTCTGGAGAAACGATTATCTCCTATTTCAAAAGGAAAAATATCTAGTCATGTCCTTTGCTTGAAACTACAAAGAGCTGTTGGGTAATGGGTGTAATGGGGATAATATGTATATGTCAAATTGCTATGTTACATTCTCCTGAATCCTGTTCTTATGGCTCAAGGAAGGTGGTCAGACAATGCCACTTACAAAGGAGGATTTTACATAGATGATGTCTCCCTTTGAGTCCCTCAGAAGCAGACCTTAAAACAAGCGTTCAATGCCAGTAACTTCTTTGGGAGATACAGGGGACACCAGCAGAAGAAAGGAAAGTAATGCAGGATAGGAAAGGCAGGCCAATAAAAGGTACATTTGAGAAAAATTTCAATCTAAACAAGAATAGTTGATGTGAAGTGGAAACTCTCATGCACGAATGCTTAGAAAAACAGAACTTAAGAACTGAGAGATGACTGTCCAAGAAACTTTGTCTTTACAGAAGGTTGAAACTAACCTCCCAATCAATGCACACCGACAAGAAACTTCCTGAGCCTCAAACCAACATGGGCACTGTTTGTACTCTGGCTGGACAGTCCCTTCTCTGTGTTCCTTTCCCATAAACACAGCCCACCCAGGCCCAGTGGGCTCACCTGCAGCTTACAATGGCACGTGGCTTCTGAGCTGAAGTATCTTTGCTAGTCCTGAATAAACTCAGTTTCTAGTGCTTTGAACTTGCTTTTAGTTTAGCTCTTTATTTAGGTTGGCACACTGTTAAATCAGCTAATGCTTAGTCCTGTGAATGAACTCTGTAAAATAGTGTGAAGAACATCCCTTAGAATGATCCCACCCAAGACAAGTTTGTGGGAACAAGATCTCTAAAGGGAGAAAACTGGAACTGACAGACTAGCTAGTTTTTGCACATTATACAAATTGTTTCAAGACAAAAAAATATGGTTACCAAATGTGACCATGCTAAAGCACTATTCTATAGCTTCTTTCTATCACATATTAGTGTTCTAATGGGGTGAGGGCACTTTGGGCTGTAATCTATGAGCAGACAGGGACAGTCACCATCTCAGACAGAGAGGTGTGTTCTGGGACATTCTGGCTCTTGGGCAGATAGAGATGGAATTGACTCAGCCCTCTGTCTTTATATGAACTCATAACCTTGGCTTCTGAGCTCTCACTGAGAAAGGGCAAGCTTTGGTTGAGTAAAAATTAAATGTAAAAGATAAGATGGCAGACTTTTAAAATGACCAAAGAAGGTTTTCAGGCACTCTAAGTCCTTCAGAAGGTGGGTATTTTCTTATAAACAATGAAAAAAAATGCCAATCTAAGTCTCTTTATATGGCCCCTGCACAGGCCTCCCCTGGAAAGTTGTCTTTTGTCAACCTGGCTCAAGTGGCCATGCGGATGGGGCTAAAGTGATCCTTTTAAATCATGAAACGTTTGCAACTCTTCCCTGCTCAAAAGCCCTCAGTGGCTCCCAGTACAAGGAGAGCAAGTGCCCAAGTCCTCTCTAATGGACTACAAGTTTCTCACAAGGTCTGCCTGAACATGTTGGCCTTGACATTTTCTCCTGACAATGACCATGGGCCCTTCCTCCCTCGCAGACTCCTAGAGCTTCTTGCTTGCTTGAACACACCATCCCTGTTCTACCTCAGAGATATTGTGTTGCTGCTCTCAGACTCTCCAGGTAACTAGCACAATTCATCACCTGTCTAGCAGATGCCCCTCCTAAAAAACAAACACTCCTCTACCCCTCCATTCATCCCACTTACAATCTGCATTTGGAACATAACTTTATTTATTATTTGTCTCTCTCACTTGAGTTCTAAAAGGGCTGCATCTCAATCTATCAATATTTTGTTCCCTGCTATATCCTCCCACTTAGAAGAATACCTGGCACTTAGTAGGGATTCAATAAATATTTGTTGAATGAATGAATTGAGCAAAATAAAAACAGAAACAAAATCAGTAAATATATAGCTCAAAAGAATAGTGGGATCAGAGAAAGAAAAGGTAAAATAAGAGGGTAGATTCTGATGCACTCAACAATCTGATTCATAATTACAGGTGAGTTTTAGACTGCGAACTTTTGCAATTTTATATGTGACCCAAGGTCTATGTTAAATATTTAAGCAAAGGTTAGTTTGAAAGGCTACATACACATTGAAAAGTAGTAAGAATTAAAAAGATTCCCCTCGTCATTTAAATAATTCAGAATGGTGTTTGTGACTTCTGCTGGCATTTGAGGGTCCAAGATAGTAACTGCTTACCTGAAAATAGGCCTTGATCAAATATTTAAAATCTCACTTATTTTCATTTTCTGCATCATTTTTATTCCTACTTCCCATTTTTCCTT